TCCGCTTCGGTGTACGGTTCGGTTAGTTTATTATTAGCTATAGTTATGTGTTCTATAAAACATTTTGGAAATTTTCCTATGCCTAAATTGGTTGTATCGTGGTTTCCATTTATTATTTCTTCTTCCAGTTTCAAAATGAATGTTCTGTTTCTATTCCTAAAATTAACATAATTATTCTAACTTAATATTAGCTATATCCTTATTATTTTTTTTTTTTATTATTGCTATTTTTTTTTAATTGACTTGTGCGTCGTTATAATATTTTTTTACGTTATTTCTATGTACAGTAATGACCTTGCGGCCTCGCTGTATAGCTACATTCTCGTTCCCTATAACTGCTGTGACCTCGTACGGTCCTAGCCAGATTGGGTCGAGTTTCGTTCTATGATTATTATCTTTTAATAGTACTAAATCATTAACGTGTAGTTCTTGTGGATTTTCATTTTTATCATAACGTTCTTTACTTTTTTATTTTATTTTTAATTAAATGATCTCTAGCTATTTTTTGCGAAATTTGCATATTTTCTTTTAGATCGAATATATAATCATCATAATTGTAACGTGGTTCAGGTTCGGCTTTTAATCTAATCGGTACCTCCAACGTACGTAGATAGACTAATGCGTATGGTTGAAAATTAGTAGAAGTATGTACCGTTGAATTATATACAAAGAATGCAAAGGGTAGTAAATGGTCCCAATTATTTAAATTCTTATCTACATAATGTCTTAAGTACTCGGCTAAAGTCCTATGAGCGTCCTATAGAGACCTGGAATATATTAAATGAAAAATCTAATAGAGAGAATAATTGACTATTTCCTAGTTGATCTAGTATTTCTGTAATATTTGGTAAAGGGTGAAATTCATTTATAGTAGCTTCGTTAAGTGCCCTAAAGTCTACTACTACTCTAAACTTTTGTTTGCCTGAATTGTCCATTTTCTTTTGTACTAATAATAGTGGGGAATGCCATGGACTTCTCGATTTCTCGATAATTCCATTTTCTTCCATTTTTTTGAATTTGTGAATTTATTTCCTCCTGTTGTGCGTGTGGTAATCTATAAGGTCTACGATAGATAGGTGGCTGATCCTTTTTTAACTTAATAGAATGTGTGCCGACATTGGTAAATGTTAAAACATCCCCTTCCAAATGAAATATGCTATTATATCGTTCGCATATTTCGTAAATAGATTGTTTTTCAATTTCGTCCATGTGGTCAGTTATTATTACTTGTTTCAAACGTTCTATTCGTTCTTTATGATCATTTGTCGATTCTACATTATATATTTCGTATTCAGTATCAAAGAGTATTTTATTTAAATCAAATTCAGATATATTTTTCGTTTCTTCCGAGATATTCAACATGCTAACTATTGCCCTACCATTATTAACGATAGATACTGTACTACTGCAATATACGTCTTTTACTAGTTCTTGCTTATGTATAAATATTTCTTTGCTTTCTATGAGTGGGTCAGCTATCTGTATTCCTACAATAGTTTCAGTGCGCGGATTTAATTTAATAAAACTGGTTTTGTCGGTCTCTTTGAAATTTGTTAGCGCATGCGAGGTCGTTTGAATAATTAATTTGTTGTTTGCTACATCGACTATTGCGTTATTTTTCGACAAGAAATCGTTTCCTAATATTCCGTCCTTGGGTATTGGGAATCGTGCACTTACGATATGAAATTCTGTTTTAATGTTTTCGCTATTCAATTTAATTAATATTGATATTTTCCCTATGGTTTTTGTAAGACATTCATTTATACCGCGTAGATTTATTTTTTGTGTTTCGTCTACTTCTAGTTCTTCGCGTAAGCATTTTATTTTGAGAATATTTAGCTGACTACCTGTATCTATCATTAAATGTAATTGATTTGTTTTTGCGGCATTAGAATCGAATGTTATATGATTATTTTCTAGTTTTGCGAATATGTGAAATATTCGTTCGTCGGTTGTTCCGCGATAATCTGGTTTATCGTGCGAGTACCACGTACCTCGTTCGATACATTGGCGTTTCCCGAATTATTTCTACTTTCGTCGTTTCTCTTTTTATAACATGAATCTACATTATGACCGTTTTTATTGCAATATGAACACGTAACTGGTTGTGCATTATAATTTGCCGGCGGTTGCGTAAAATTATTTCTATTAGGTGGACGGTTGTTATTTCCGTTGCTCGCGTAGTTAGGTCTCGAATTATTTCTACATTGTGATGCAAAATGATTTCCATTGCAGTTATAACATTTTATTGGTGGTCTATTAATTGGTTGAGAGAAGTTGTTTGCTCGTGGATAATTATTTTGCGCAAAATTATTCGGCCTTACAAAGTTATTTGGTCTAGCGTTCCTGTTGTTCTTATTTTCATAATTTGGTCTACGTTGATTATTGTTTTGTGAATAACTACTCGAATAATGGTTCCTATTTTCCTGTTCTAATCTTAGTTCTACCTGTTCTGACATAGCGATTTGTTTCGCGATTTCAAGAGTTTTAGCATTACGAGATTTTACTATCGTTCTAATTGGTTCTACTAATCCTTTAATAAATACTGCTAGAGTTTGGTCCCTTAATGTTTCATGTATAATTTTTGCTTCTGTCGCCTCTTTGTTTAATGTGCTTACGGTACATAACTGATAGTATAGTTTCTCTACTCTGTGGCAATAATCGTTTACATCCTCATTGTGATTCATTCTAATCGAATTTAATTGAAGTTGTAACGTCGATGCATTGGTTGTTACTTCGAATGCGTCTGTTAAATATGCTTTTATAAATTGCCATTTTGTTACGTTTTTATATTTAATCATTTCTAATGCTCTACCCGTTAATCGTGTAGTAATATATTTTACTAATATTGGTGCGCTAGTTGCGTCGACTAAACCTACTGCCATATCACATGCATTTATGAATTTGTAAATATCGTCTATCCCTGTGCATACTGGAATTAATTTAAAAGCGTCTTCTAATTTTATGGTTACTGCCATTTTTTTATTGCGTGATTTAGATATAAAATCTAACGACTGATGTTCAAAACTATCTGTGACTTTGCTACGTGTGACTACTCCTAATTGTGGACTTGGGGTTTTACTTGTGTTACCTACTAACTGGGTATCTACTATAATATTCAACTGGGCTTGGGCTTCTCTCTGGGCTAATAACTGGGCTTCTAACTGGGCTTCTTCTACTACACTAGTGTCATACAATGAATTAGCTACGTTCAAGGGAGATGTATCTTCTTTGTCCATAAATTAACTTAACCACCTATTTAATACGTTAATAATCATAATAATACTCAATAAAATTCAATAATGCCCTATAAATACAATAATAACTTCAATAATATGCCCTTTAATAAATTCAATAAACTTCAATAATACTTCAATAATAAAAATGCCCTCAATAAATAATAATCAATAATAACTTCAATAAAAATATGCCCTCAATAATAAAACTTCAAATAATCAATATGCCCTCAATAATTCAATAAACTTCAATAATAATCAATAAAATATGCCCTCAATAAAATTTAAAACGGTTTACACCATTACACTTATAATCAACTACCTAGATTTATCTTAATATGTCTTAATTATGTTGCATACGTCTATGTAACAAATTTAAATAACTATTCACTCACAATAATGCTGCGTTCATGGCTGATGATGACATGTTGCCGTTGATGATGCTGCTAATGGATTTGTTGGTACTGCAATGTGACTTATTTGTTTTTTGTTGGTTCCTCCTGGAGTTGTCTTCGCTGAAGAGTGATCAATTCTTCGTTGTTGACAGTAGCCTTTGATGGTTGCCTCCCTTTGTGGAATTCCACGTCGACTGCGCCAGTGTTACATGCGGCCCTTCAGGGATCCAAAAGCTGGTGTTCTTTGATAAATAATAATAGTCAATTAGTATGGTAATCAAATGTATTATATTAAACCAGACAAAACAAGCAGAATAATAGTGTTGATTGTAGCGAATTGTAGCTCGTTCCGAAGTTGATAATCTCCGTGTAAGTCGTGTGTGATGGCTGGGCGGCTAAGCGAGTCGTGTGGTGTTCTCGTCTCTGGATACATCTAACTCAGGCTGTCTCGCTGTCCCCTATATATATGGTGGCGGCGTCCTTTGAAGTGAGCGGCGCGTGTACAGTCGTCCTTGATATGGACCTCACGACTATGAAAGTGGTATTCGTAGTCGAAAACACTTTTGGGTGTGGTCGCATTTCTGGTTGTTATTATGAGCAAATATATGATATTGCGTAATACCATTCCTGGTTGTTATTATGAGCAAAATACATGATATTGCGTAATCCCATTACATTACATATACCTTGTCACTATTCAGTTTAATAAAACTTCATTGACACATAGTACGTATATCCCGGCAATGCTCCTATAAATGGTAAGAACTTAAGAGGCCGTCCTAGTAAAAGTGAAACGAATGCAACGCTCAAGAGATGGCGTTGTGCGCCGTATCGCCGCCGTCGCGGTAGGCCGTAACCACGCCCATCGTGTACGCGACGGGGCCCGCTTGTTGTAATCGCGGGAGAGGTACATTATTAGGGACGTTATATCGAAACATTCCGTCGATACTTTTACTCGTATCGAAAGCCTAATATCGATACTTGTAAAATATCAAAAGAAAGTATCGATATTACTCATATCGGTATTAAAAAAAAAGTTCTTCGGCTATAATACGCCTATACGACATAACTTTGCAAGTCAATTTTTTTCTTTTACCAGATGCACTGTATAGTTTATTTTTAAAACTCATAAAGAATTTTTTGACAAAAAATCATGTAGTAGGGTAAACTTAATCATTATAATTTTATTGTTCTGTGATAATATTATAATTTTTACGGGTTTTCATAAGATTGAGTTACAAAAAAAAACATGTTATCATGTAATATATATTAAATATTTTGTTTTTCTATATTCAAAAAATTAATAAATAAATAAATAAGCCACAAAAAAAGTTTCAATAGATTATTAATAAGATAACTTAATCATGAATTATGAGAACCATTCGTCTTCTGAAAAGTCTGCCATAAATAGAAGTTTTTCCATCCTAGAACTTGTCAAACGGTTTCTTGCCTGGTTCATGGTGGCGCCAGCTTTCAAAAATAATCTCTCACAGGGTACTGAAGAGGCAACAACAGAAAAATTTATCCTGGCTTGCTTATACAACAATGGGAATACATTCTTCATGTCTTCCCATTGCTCCAACGGATCAACGGATAGAGACGTCATTGGATTAGCTAAATATAAGGTCAACTCGTCACTTGCATACACATGGTTTGATTTCTTTTTTTTTATTGCTCTGAGTATGGACCAACTTATTATGTTTTGCCCAAAAGTCATAAGCTACTTCTTCTGAGGTTTCTGCTTCCGATTCACTAGACGAAATTTCGGTTCTCATTAGATTTCTTAATGCAGACATTGCTCTGGAGCATGCATTAGGGTCATTGAAATGTACATTTTTAAATTTCGGATCCAAAATAGTAGAAATTGCTATTGGAGTAACAAATTGAATTTGCCCAAATCGTTTTACAAGCTCCAAATTTAGTTTATTATGGACATCATGAATAATGCCCTCGCTATATTTATCATCGAGTACTTTTTTAGGGTGGCTGGACATGGGACCTTGTACAAAGGCACTAGTTCTTTCATCAATCTTTTAAACCCTGCACCTTGAACTATGTGAAAGGGTCTTCGATCTTTACAAATGAAATATAGTAATGTCATTGTTGTTTTCGAATGCAATAGGCCACCCTCTGAAGTAAATAAAAGATATTTAGTGTAAATAACAAACATAAATTTTCAAATGAAAAATTTGTTTTTCCGAATCAAGAAATTAATTCAATTTAATTTACCTTTAAAGGAACTTAATCTTTTGAACGATTCAACAATTGGTTGTCTTAACTCTGTTATTGTATCATCAAATGGAACTGGATCATCTACCTGCTATCAATAAATTGATTACCAATATTTTAATATCAAATAACAACAAGTTATTTATTTATTTTACTTTTGCATTAGTTTAAAAGATTGTACACAAAATATCTATATAATATAGTTTTATCCTGTATACTCTGTACTTCTGTAGACTGTAATTCAATGCCATATAGTTGGATGGTAGTCGTTATGTTCATCAAAACACAATATCATTAACACTATTATTTTTACCTGTTCTATTTGTCCGTCTGCAGTACATGGCTGAATAGTCATCGATGACGAAGTACTCTGAACGGTATGAACACTAACATTTAAACAATACATTGTATTAAAAATGATATTATGGTAATTTATTAAATACATCTAAAATTGCTTATTGTTACCTTTGATCTATAATTCTAGTTAAACTAGTTTGAGTATTGCTATCATTTTTCAGAAATTTGTTAAGCGCTTGAGTTGACTTTGGGACATTTGGATGTTTCAGAAGGTGTTTCATTAAATTCGACGTATTTCCACAATACTTTACTTTCACTGAACACAATTTACATTTAGCCAATGTACTATCGACCTTAGTGAAGCATATCCATACTTTACTTCTGGGAGGTGCCATGACTAGAATATATTTACAACTTAAAAAAAAAAATTATTATTTTATACATTTTTCGTAGTATAAACTATGTCTATGAATACCTTACTGCAGCTATCAACGATGTAATTCTCTTAAACGTTGCAGATATCACAATTTATGTTATCACATAATTTGTTAACGTACGGTAGTAACCGTAATAACCACTGTTCGCAGTTAGAACCATGGATTTGGTATTTCGGGGTGATAATTTGATAATATCAATAAAATTAAAAAATTCGATTCGATACCTTATATTTGTATCGATATGAGTAAAATATCGAATCAAAAGTATCGATACAAAAAATACTCGAATCGAAAGAAATGTATCGATATTTACTCATATCAATAGAATTGCAACGTCCCTATACATTATTATTTCACGGACGGTCGTACAGGACGTTTCGCGTCATTACAGACCGTTGCGTAAATTGTCGCCTATGAATTCTACATGGTGCGCTGCCTCCTAGCTCATAAGTCGCAAACCTACTTTTTAATTAAAGCTCCTGTTTGCATAAAAATATTAACCAATGAATAAAGCATAACAATTATTATATTCCATAACTCGATTTATATTTCTAACCCAATTATCTACTTTTTAAAATACAAGTACAATAATAATTTCATTAGAATTAAATAGATTTTTTAGTAAAAGTGTAACGTATTTTACGTTGTAACTTATAAGTGACATGAAGCAATTTTTGTACGATAATTTAATCTACTAAATAAATATTAGCTACATTTTAAATAGTTTTGATTATATAGTTAATATTGATGTATTTTCTTATTTTAATTTTAAACATATAATACATATAATATGAAGTTGATGTTGTCCATAATGTTTATTAAATAAATATAAATAAAATAATATATTAACTATATAATTGCAATTTGCAGTACCTATGTAAAGAAAGCAATCTGTATAAACTAAACATGTTCATTGATTATAATATCATATAATGTATATAAATTAAAATTAAATTATGGACAGACCACATTTGTTATATATAATAGTTAATTGAAACAAAACATTTAGATTAATGACAATTTATTATAATTGATAACTTAAATTAATGGTATAGGTGACGCGGCCCCGCGCAAAATCTGTTTGAATTCAAACAGCCTTTGCGCGGAAGCCGCGCCGTGGCTTCTCAATCAAACCGCCAATTGACGACGGACGACGCCGGCGCGCGACACTCGCGCCAGGAACCGTCGGCCGGCCGTCCGGTGAACCGGTCTGTCAAGACGCTCGCCCTCGTTCTCTTGACATCGACACGTCCCCGTGTAATCGATACCTTTGTACCTTTGATATTATATTGAATGTTCTCTTTGACTCTTGTCACTTATAGTAATAAAAGTCAAAAACAAATCAGTGCGCCGTTCGTTGTTTTCATTTTTTTTTATTTCGTTTGTTTGTTCCGACCTGACTTTTGGTCACCATCACCTCACCGTCCACGCGGCACTACACAAGGCCGCATCATAGGTAGCGTAGATCATGACAAATTAAATAGGTATGTCAGCAATATTACCAGTTTAGAAACAAATCGCTCACCCACCCTCCGCCCAGTATAGTACTGTGACGTAAGCATTTCTCCGGTTCTCATTGGTCCACCGCCGTCACTGCCGCAATAGCCGCCGACAACGAAGACGCCTCCACCACTCCACCTCTCAACCTGTTGGAGAAATGCTTACGTCACAGACATGCGTATCACGAGTTGCTGACATACATATTTAATTTGTCATGGCGTAGATAGTGTAACTGATGTATATTATATTCTAGTATACTACCTATGCTTTTATTTTATGAAATATCATAATATGTACATTATATTATCTATATGTAAAAAGGGCATAGTAAGTTATGCATGTAATAATAAAATAAAATATAATAAATAATATTATGCCCTTAGAATTTTACATATTTATTTTGCGATGTAATAAAAAAACAATTATAGTCCCATATAAAATTAATTTGTAGGTATACAAGTTAAGTAAATAAATATATTAATAAATAAATATGATACAAATATTTGTATTACTTAGTTTTAAAATAATAAATAAAAATGGGTGCAAATATTTAATATTAAATATTTTTAATTTTTTAATATTGATTTAAACCATTAAATTTGGATAAATATTGGCTTTATTATTATGACGCTGAACATTTTTTCTCTCTAAAGAGTCTTCATCAAACTCTTAATTTTTTGTGTAATTATTGTGTTTATGAGACCTTAGTATTAGATTATGAGTAATGCTAGAAAAAAATCCCGCTAGAAGCTTTGTACTCCACCCAAAGGTTTGATATAAAAAAGTAATATTGATACCTGTGTCAACAAGTGTTAATATTAATTTTTCAACAAAGAATATATCCATTAGCCCAGACACAAAACTTCCAATTGTCGTAAACCAACCCCATAATTTAAATAGCTTATCTTCTACCATTTTTCCAAGCGTGTTTTCGTCTATCAAATATTTAAATTGCAGACCTTGATTAGTCGTATCATATCCCATAGATTGTCTGATTAAATTATTTGTGGCAGCTTTCACTTCTTGCGGGAACAATATATGCTATTGAAATTAATACAAGGCATTTGATATATTGTTACAATAGCAGTTGAAAAATATTAGTAATACATGGTCGATTTTTTATTAAAGTTCATTCAACATTTGAATTTTGAATAAATTTGTCAAATTTAAAAATTTAAAATTATTTTGTAGTTAAAAATATAATTATCATAGGCTGACTCCTGTCTTAGCTCAGATTCGTTTTTCTTCAGCAATGATATTATAATATCATCGAATTTTAATTTAACACAATTCAGTATAATGGTTCACTTGTAATAACATACTGTACAGTAGAGCGACACCCACTTGCCTACCTTTTTTACTTGTACATGCTAATTTTTTATTTATTTTTATTTTTATATGAAATATACAATCTGTACCCTGAGGCACAATAAGAATATGGGCTAAATTACAATGACATGAGTGAAGTGTTTTGCTTCTTCTTGGACGGTTTTTATTAGGTACGCTAATTTAAATTTAAAAAAATCTTGAATATCAAATCGCTAATTTGATAGAAGAATTGTCTATAATTGAAAAAAAAAAAAATTTTTAAATCGTACGCTTTCCAGCTATTTGGTGACGATTTTATGATATAATATTATGTAGTTCCATTTCGCGTAAACTTCCTCTAGTAATAAGAATACGAATTATAACATCGACAAATAAAATAATATTATTCATTGACAGAATTATTATTTTCGTATCGACGTATTTGGCTATTTATAATCCTTGCGAGGCTGAGATAAATAACCAGTTTTGACCTATGGTGCGGTACAGCTGCATATGTACGCGGGGTAGTGGTAGAAGTACTATTTCAGAATGCTGCCGCTGTAGTCGTTCTAGCAGCACATGACGACGGCAAAGTCGTATTTTTTTTGCCCAAAACATGGTTTTGTACTTCCAATAGTTCTCAGGCCTCGTTGATCGTAGAAACATGATTTTGGTATTAAAATAATCACGAGAAGTTGTACTGAATATTCTTGGAACAGATTTTCGATATCTAATTTTGTCGATTTTATATAATTTTAAAAAAAAAATGAAAATATAGTACAAATTTCAGATACAAATAAAATTGGTTAGAAAAAAAATTTTAAAATTCTGTTCGAAGAATATTTAGTACAACTTCTCGTGATTATTTTGATACCAAAACCATGTTTCTACGATTAACGAGGCCTGAGAACTATTGGAAGTACGAAAGCATGTTTTTCGGTCGATT